AGAGCACTGGGAGGGAGTTGCTGTTATTATTTGGAAGCTGGCAGCCGTTGTCTGTCACTTTCTTTTGCAAACTTGATGACCAGTATGCTTCAGCAGATGCCTCTTTTTTTTCTAAAAGATCATGGTGCATGTTAATCTGCATATGACAGACGAAGATGTAGTAGTCACAGTTTCCAGAAAGTTGAGTGTAGGAATCCTATCTGTAGCAGCTGAGACATTGGGCTTCAGAAGACTCTGAGGTTAGATGCAGGGATATGCCAGTTCGCTCTCTCTAAATTGCCAGATATTACTCCAGTGCATACACATATCCCTGGTATTTGCATTCACATGAAAGCTCCATAAAGGGAAAAACTACAGCAGCTTCTTTGTCCTACTTCTTCCTCTGGCCTTTTGTCTTCAGGCATGTAAGATTGTTGGCTAAGGCTCTTGACAAGAGGCTTTTGTTTGTGTTTCTAAGGAGAAATCAATGTGGAGTTGATAAGTGTAAGCAGCAGCTAAGTTAGCTCATAGCTACTGAGGTTTTTTTGCAGGTGGCTTCGTGCTACCAGAATGTGATACCAATCCTTCACACCCATCAAATGCACACTGTTGTAGACATGCTCGAATCTTTGACAGAAATAAAAATCTCTACTGGATCAATGGAAGAGACAGTTGGGAAACTTTAGAGAAAGGGTGACTTAATACTTTGAACATCAGTACGTGATACCAGTTCAGTGCACGTGATTGTGTTTGAGGGTTTAGTGTTTCTTTTGGTGGGCATTATGGGCCCTTCGCAGCTGTATTTCTACAGTGTGGATTTCAGTTCAGAATACAAAGAAATCTGCATATGCCTGCTTTTTCTAAATGGTAATGTGGTTTTGCTGCAGTAAGTCTTCAAGTGAAGCAACAGATTTAAGTGTTTGGATGTGGAGTTCCTGAAGTCTTTGTGACCTGGGGCCCTTCAAGGCTGTTCAAGAATGTCCAGTACAGGCAGAGTCTGTATAAGTCTGAGTAATAGCATATAAGGCAAACTGATCAAAGAAGGAAGTATAGACCAGGAATGTGTAGCTGATGATACGACCAGTACTGGACTACTTTTAACAGGAGTACATAGGATTTCCAGGAGACAGGATGATAAAACAGCTATGTAAACAACTAAAGCAGTGGAAAGAAGGCTGAATGTGGGGGTGGAGGAACAGTGTTTCTAGGGGAGTTCTTTTGTGAATTGGAGGAAAAGCCTATGAGATTTTCTTGCCCCCTTTTTTTTTTTCTTGAAGGCAGTGATACTGTGCTTACTTTCTTTGTTTTGCATCATACTATAGCTTTTTAGTCCAGCATTGTACCTCTCTTAAAGTATTTCTAGCTATGTACTAAGCTCCTATTTATAAGAATTCATTATTTAGGTCATGAAAGTTTTATCAAAGATGGGTTCAAATATAGGTGAAACGGATAGAGATGAAAATTTTAATGAGCAATAGTTATAGCACTCTAGTTGCTTTGGCCAGTTTTTCTAAGCCAAATCATAGCATGCTGATGAGACTGCTGAAGAAGGCTTGCAGAAAAGGCACACTGTGAACTGTTGTTCATCTGTAGGAATTAGAGTACCAGGAGCTCTAGCATTTTTTCTACGAAAAGATAAAATCACTGGTTTTTGGAAGCAGGTTTGGTATCTTGTGTTTCACATTACAGTGGATAGTCCTGATGCTAAAATAAAACTACTGCATCATTCTCTTGAAATTGCTGAAGTTGCATTAGCAACCTGTTGGAGAATAGACCTTCTGTGGGAAAGCCAGTGGTGGGAAATAGCTAGCTAGCCAAAATTGGGATAATGAAGTTGACGTGTGCATTGCTGACACTGAGCTGTGAATGGTGCAGTAAGCAAGTGCTATGTTAAAGTTACACTATGACTAGGTAAGTTGCTTTCTCATTATTCTGTTTCTAATATTATCCGTAATTAATTTTAGGTGCGATCTCATGAAGGCATATTTGGTGATGACAAATACTGTTTGGGCTTTCTGTCTAACCCAAAGAGATTTAATGTAGCAGTTACTAGAGCAAAAGCTTTGCTGATTGTTGTGGGAAATCCTCATGTTCTTGTGAAAGTAAGTTTTGGGTTTTAGTATCTTTGAATTGCATGTGGTATTTTCCAAAGTAAATGAATGATTTGAGGGAGGGGAGGTTAATCTGATGTGAAGGATCATCAGATTATTTTAAGAATTAGTACACTGTCCTCAGTCTGCATTTGGGAATATCTGAACTGTGGTTTCCTGTAAGTGTGGACAGTTCAGATCCCCACACGGTAGACTTCCAAGCACAAAGGAAATGGTAATGCTGATCTGTGCATACAGGCTCCTACCTCCAGCAGCCTGCAAGTCCAGTAAGCTTGTTCTGAATAACGTTATGCAGTGAGATTCTTCACAAAATGCAGTTGCATCACTTTTTAAATGGAGGGTGGTAGAAGTGATTGTTCCCAATTAATGTAACAACCTGCCAGGGAAGCAGTCTCCTTTTGAACCCATGTGTGGTCCTTCTGTAGGAATAAGGTGAGCTTCTCTTAGTATCTGATAAGATGTTATGTCTGACTTTCTGGATAAGGAGGAAAGCAGTATTCCAGAAATGGACTGAATAGGAAGTCTAGTCTCTCCACACCTACATGCAACAAGTGTAACTTAGAGCAGCTATAGGTATCTTCCTTCTGTGTTACACCATGCTTGCACTATTTGTAGAGTTCTGTTTCTGGAAAAGGTCCTATTACATCTTCTGCATTCATGTGCCATGTTCATTTGCTTGAAAATTCACTTCACTGAGCAGCATGGTTTAGATTAAACATTAATCTTCTCTCATAGGATCCCTGTTTTTGTGCACTGTTAGAATACAGTTTAATAAACGAAGCTTATGTAGGTTGTGACCTGCCTTTGGAGCTGGAATGCCTGCAGAAGTGAGTGTCCAGTGTTCACTTTAATCTTTCCAGATATGGATCAGTTTAGAATATTTTTAAAGCTGGTATCATTTGAAAGATTGATAAATACAAGAACCTCCAATATCATAGTAGGATTTGATTTTGCATTCTTAAGTACTGTAAACATAATAGCATATAATTTTCTCCCACACCATAAGAGTCTGAGCATTAAATATTAAATAAGATCTTTTGTTGACTTTGGTATTTTACGTATCCCCAAAATGAATTATGTATTTGATTACCATAGGGATTTGGGGGTGGGGGATGCAGGGAAAATGTTTAAGGTGACTTTACTGTAATTAAAGAAATTTGCTTGAAGAGTGATTTAAATGTGTCCCTTCTAATAACACGTAATATGTTGTTAAATTAGTATTACTGAGTATTATCTCAGTATGAGTTATGCAACTCCTTTTTTCTTTAGTCAAAATTGTTGTTCATGGAAACGTAACCAAAATTTTTATCCTATTCCCTTTATTTGACAGGTCTGACTAGTTTTTCAGTGTTCAAGATGCATTCAGTCTTCATCTGTTTTGAAAATAAGGATAATTAACAGAAATTCGGTCCTGAACAAATCCAGCACATTTTGTCCTTAGGCAAAGGTACATGTTCTGAAATGATTGGAAGTTTCTCCAAACTTTTCTGTTTAAAATGTGTATGACACTATGCCTCTGCATAGAACAGTATGCCTGAATCCTCCAAGCTTTAGAAGAAGAATATTGGTGAACTGTTACATTAGCTTTTCCTTATTCTGTACCTTCTTCAGCTTTACAATTTTCTCAGACCACTGTAGTGCCTCTTCAGACTGGACCATCCCAAGAACATGTATGTGTCATGTAATTTTGAACTGGAATGATACACTAATATCTCTACTTGACTGATGCTGAGTATCTTAAGCCAAGAATGCTTAAAAACCCTACTTCCACTTTTTTAGGCCTCTGTGTATACAGCTGAGATCACACAAGATTTTCTTGGTTTTCCACTGCAGTCCAGCTATCTGCTGTGATGTTTGTCAGAACAATGTTGCAAATGGTGGGTTAAAAAAAAAATAAAAACAATGTTTTGTGTTTCTTCTAATACCCTGTAAAGTATCTTGTTTTACTTTGACAAAAAAAAATGGTGAGTTAGCAGTATTTCTACTATCAGCTTCATTGGACACTGTGCACAGTGTTTTTCTTTCTTTCTTGTCCTATCCCTGGTGATTAAGTCTTGCCACAAAATTTAGGAATAGTTGGACAGCCAGCCACTGTGTTTAGGAACTGTCAGTACAACAAGATGGCTTTCTATGACAGACAGAAGTATTTTGGATAAGACTATAGCCTACAGAGGGGGCTATATAAATGGAGGGGGGGGGGGGGGGGAAATAACAAGCTTCTGTTTCCTTGTTTACAGTCACCTGTATCACTTCCATTCCTCACATGCATGACATTTCTTTCCTCTGCAATGCACAGTATTTAGATACTGCAACTTGTAATATGGCAAACATGGTAAAACATCAAAGCCAGATACTACATAAGGGTACACTGTACTGTGACATACAGTGTGGAGAACCCAGAATTACCGCTCACTCAAACTACACTGTGTGAGTGTATCCAGTCCAAGTTGCAGCTGTGTTTGAGCAGCACCCTAGACTGTTCAGCCCAGCCTCTTTGGCTTGGTGGTGTGCTGCTTAAATTGCTTTCACTTACGACAGGCCAAAATAGATGGTTTTTGCTGTTGTAGTATGATGCTGAAAAGACCAGCATGAATGATGCTGTGTCATATTCTACATCAAACTCAGGAAGTTGTATAACAAAAAAAAATGTTCCTAGTTGTTGCTTGTTGAAAGACTTCTTGTTTCAGGATTGTGTTATTGCATACCACATCTCACAAATCACTGCTTAGACTTACTGCCAGCCTTGCTCTTTGTCAGTGTGTTCATGTGCTCTTCAGAGAACAGTGAAGAGATCGTAAGGGAGATGGATGATGCTTACTTTATTGCAAGATACAATCCAGAACTTCTGATTACTATTTCCATTATACTTGCATAGCAAAGTATCAGAGGATTGATTATATCATCATACTTAATAGCTACAAGTTAATAATCTTTTAACTATAATAGTTTACATGTTGACATAATTTTATGCAAAGATAAACTTAAGAAGGGGGTTTTCTGTTCCAGCCTCTATTGAAAACTACTTTTTTTTTCCCCAACCCTTTTACTTCATGCTGTGTGCTGCTGCTTATTAATGACTGAGAACCTGCACTGTGTGATAGAAAAAAAACAAAAACAACTTTGTCTTCCTCATTCTATTGCAACATTTCTCATCTTTGCTATTGCAAACCTTGTTTGAAGAGATACCTTCCCATCGGAACTGTACAGGATTAAACTGTTCACAACTTTAGAACAGTTTCTTCTGACAGCTTGATGTGCAGGCAGAGCTGGTTGTTCCAGAGGTGTTAGCTTCAATATTCTAGACATCTATTTCATGGAAACATATGGCCTGATGAGCTGGCATGAGGAAAAGGGGAGAAAACAGTTTGAGTTCTTGGTATTGGTTAAAATAATCTTTCATTTTTACTGTGACAAAAATTCACATAAATTTATTTTGGAATATGTGAAGAAAGATCAGCCACTACATGCAAAAGTAGCAATGACAGAGTCAGTCTCTTTCCTTTAGAGTCAGTCAAACTAAGTCTTACTTTGCATGAAAACCATGTTCCAGTTATTCAGTTCTGTTTACAGGAATAGTAAAATAAAAGAAACAACAACTCTTTGTAATGGATGTTTCTGATTTATTAATTCCTTGCCTTACTAAGAAATTACAAAAGCCAGACAAGGGGCTTCTACCATGTCTTGAGGAGCACATCAGAGGTCCATCAAGTCAGAAAACACAAGAACACCATTATAAATTTATCTCTTTCCCCACTTTCTTCCAAATATTTTAGGCACACGATGTCTAATAAGAAAAGCAAGAGACTGAGAAAGAGGTAGTGTGCAAAGCAGACGGTTCCTGAGTTCTAAGCAGTTCAGAGCTGAAATCTAAACAGTATATTTGACCTGTCAACCTCAGAGGTTTCCTTGCCAGAATCAAAGTATGTAGTACTCAACTGCACACTGGTTCTTGCTGTTTTCCCAGTATGTTTCAAACAGTAGTGAAGGTCTGGAAAGTAAGTTCTGCATTGCAGTGTTCTCAACCTTACGGTGGTCTGAACAACTGAATTCTGTGCCATGGCAGCAAGAGTTCCCTCAATGGATGGTCTTCGCTTTTGAAAGCAGTACCTTAACTCGTAGGTGGCCGCATTTAGATCACAAGTAAAATTAAAAGTATGCACTTCTAATAGTATTTTAGAATATGAAGGCTTTATTAGAGCAGCAATCTCTCATATTGCTTATTTTTAAGTTCCCCTTAAGTTGCTGCTGTTCATTGGTCCATGCTGGTGCAGCGTAGGTCAGGTCACACTAAATCACTGGTTGATGCAGGAGTTGCTTGGCAAGTATTTTTGCGTGATTCATGTGTAATTGCTGCTAGTTCTGCATTTTTTTCATAACTGCCGTTTTAACTGTGCTTTATCTACTACAAGTTACATCCCTGCCAACTACATAGTAGTATTTTGAAGATCAAACTCTGAGCCTCTGACATGAGCCTATTTATTGAAGTCACACCACCTCAGTAGTCCAAGACACAGACATGGCTGGGTGCTGCCCAGGGCCACGCTCATCAGCCTTCACAGAAACACTACGTGTATTTGTAAAGATCATGGGGGGTAGGAGCCCTGTTAAGTCTTTCTATCCCTGATCCTCCTTAAAAAAAATGGTCAATCTACACCAGAAGGGAAAAAAAAATTGAGGCTGTAGTTACAACCTGCATTCAACACCTTGTGTGATCGTGGTTTTTTCCATAGAGCCCATTATCCCAGTAAGGACATTAGATCAGTGGGACAAGAAATAGAATTAAGAGTGTGTGGGCAACTGCACCTGCTTTTTCCTGTCTTCTATAGCCTTGATTTGACAGCATTATGGAAGTTTAATAGAATTTTCTCCCTTAAATAATACAGCTTCAAGGTATCAAGGAGTATTGCGCTGCACATTTTGGAGCTCAGATAACAGAATAATGAATATTCTAAATCTTAACACACTTTTTTAAAAAGCAATATTGGGTTGGTTTGTTTTTTTTTTCAACTAACAACATGAGCATTCATTCATAGATTCAGAAATAATCCATTTGTCTCAGTTTTTTACCAGGGTTGTTAAAATTTATATTCTCTGATTACTTAAACAATTGACACTTTTTTTTTTAAATATTCGTGGTAAGGAAAATGCAATTTGCCTCTAAGCTGTGGGGAAGGGTGTTCTTCCAGCACATGGTAAAGAGTGGGAGTGTTAAAATAATCCTTTTAAACAGCTTAAACTTCCTTACAGCTTTAAGTGCTGCTACGTCTCAGTATCTCTTTAAAGATATTTCAGTGTCAGCTTCTTGAGAATTGCTCTACAAGAGCAAAAGGAAACCCTGCCACTGCGGTGCCTCTCAGAAGTACAGCAAGCGAGGAGGTGATGTGCTGCAGGACAGAAGTCAAACTGCAGACCAGGGAATAAAGAACTGTCTGTAAATAGAGGACAAAGTGCTCTTGAAATGTTACATTTGGAGAAGCTTAGAATTTGTCCAGAAAGGCACAACTGAATAGCTCTAGGCTAGAACTAATAGTTCTTCTAAGGAATACTAATGTCAAGGAAGAAAAAATAGAGACGATAGGTAATGAAAGAATACAGTCAACAAAGGGAAAATGGGGAAACACTTTTTAGTTTAAAAAAACCAACCATATACACACACAAATTCAACCAACCAAGCAAAAACTTCCACAAGAATTAGTCACTTTTCTAATGTTTACTTAATTTTTTTCAATGCTCTTCATGTATATGACTTCCCTTCCTCTTGCCCAGCTGGAAGGTGCAGGTGAAGTGAAAGTGCTAGAACAGAAGATTCCTCTCTGCTGTCTGGTGTGTAC